CATGTGCAGCTTCTTCCCCCAAAGGTGCATAATGACACAGACGCATGTAGCTGAATCCCTGCTGGCTGCCACTTTCCTGCACAATAGAAGGGCAGCACCTGCAGAGGGCTTGCTCTCCTACCCTCTCTGCCTCAGTATAGGAGTGAATTTGCACCAAATTGGTTTGTTTCCATTTAGAACCATTTCTTCATGGTTGCCTATGAGTCTGACCCTTAGAGAGCCTGAGTACCATCAGCTCCTGTTGAAATCAGTGAGGGACAGATAGTGGCCACCTAGGGCTACTGTTTAAATCAATGGGAGCTTAAGATGCTAAACACTTGGGATCAGGCCCTTCATGCATGGCCTGTCCCATCCACATATGCACATAGGGATGCAACAAGGCTGAGGCAAAGAAGACATTAGTGCACAAGTGACATATCTCAATATAATTTCTAAAACTCTATTAATTGAACAGATAAAATACTTCTGATCTATTTTTGTTACAAAATATTAGCCATTTGGATTCTTTACTAGGTGTGACCACACCACTTTCTCAAAGGAAGCTTTCTTCAATGATATTTACAGCAGGAAACAGGTACAGACAGACAGAGACAGGTGCTCTCAAAAGCCTACACATTAGGTAACATTTTGATTGTTCTTAAAAAAGAAACATTCAGATGGGATGTGAATAAGTGGCAAAGGAGTGAGAACAGGGTAGCTTCAAAATTGTTGTCCTAGGCATGGTCGTTGAAAAGCAGTCAGGAAAAATGGGCTACAGCCTGTCAAGAATTACAAATGTATCTCAAGAGATGCTTCAGAAGCCTCGGGCCCCTCCCCTAGCAAAATGTGCAGGAAGGGCCTGGGCAGGGGGTAGAGCGGGCTCAGGGGCGGGTTGGGATAGCCTAAAGGGAATAGCACAAGCTAACTCAGCAGAGAAATCCAACTTGAATTCCCATTGTCAAAGCAGAGATTCTCCCAAGCAATAGAGCAACTCCCACTATATGGGGCTGGATCCTGTTTTAGAAGCACTACAAAATTCTAGGTTGGACCTTCTAAAAATATTAGAGTATAATAGACCAGGAGTCCCTAAGACATTGCAAAACAGGGTAGTGTTTTTGTATCGGAGGATGTGGAATCCTAAGGAGATTCCACTTGAAGAGCAAACACACACCTACCTTGTGGGTAACAAGGAATTGTTGGAATTCTTTTGGTGATTCATGAGCATGCTTATGAAAAATCCTGCAGTATTGTGCAGCAGTGGGCCAAACACCAGAGTGACCTGCTTGTAGGGGAGGAGCCTGATTCTCCTTTCTTTTACACCAGTTTTCTATTGGGTTAACTCATGACATTTGCAAGAATTATTTTTGATTTACAGAGGTCTGAGGGAGAGAAGAATCAAATGTGCACAGTCAGCTTCTGGGTTGGTGTGAATTGGCATAGCTCCTTATAGTTCAGTGGAGCTACTCTAGCTTATGGTAGCCAAGGATTTTCTTCATTGTGTTTTGGACCATTCCTGTAGAGTGATTGTTTGATTGCTCCTTTAATCCAGAAAGAGCTGAATGCAGCCACAAATGTCGCCAGTTCAGTTTGGTTTGCCTAATCTCTGCAACAGGCTTTCACCTGATCTCACAATCTGAAAACTTCTACCAAAATAACCATCACTCATGGCTGATGATTTGCTTTGGGCTGTCTTTCTAATGCAAGTGGCAGATTATTTTCCTGTTGTTTATCAGGGCTTTCACTAACACTTGTTGAGTCTCACACTCTATCTGCCATCAGGTGATTTCAGAATTATAGCCGTACTGAGTCTATGTGTATACGTGTGTTTGTGAGTGGGTGGGTTATAACAGGGCAGAGGTTAGAACAGGTCAGACTGTGTACATACACATTTGAAAGTGTTTGTTACTCCACTAGACAGACCCAAAGGACAATCAGCAGAAGACCCCTGGCCACACTTCCCAGGCCTCAGCTACACAGTGGATTTTAAAGTAGCCTCTTTCACCAAAGGAAAACCTGGTATAAAATGGTTTGGTATTTCTCCAGTTAACTCTTATAGAAACAAGCTGTTTCCAGCCACCTGGAAAACAAGAGGTGATGGCACAATACAGGATTGCTACATTTGCTTCTCTGACCAAATCCCAGGACCCAAAGTAACCTCAGCAGGTCAGGGAAATGGAGCTATCTCTTCCAATCACATTCCTTCACTCATGTATGGGTAAATCTTAGCACTATTGTTAGCTTGTTTCTGTCCTTCATTCATTATTAAGGGGGAAAACTCATGAAAGTGTCTTTCATCTTCATGGCTTCACTGATCTGTTATACATAATGCAAACCTCTCTTGTAGGAACTTCATAGGCATTGCTATAAATATTTTATCTAAAAAATTATTTCATCAAATACTTTAAGGTGTTCTTTGTCATGCCTTTGTGTTAAATGTCAAATAAAATCTAATTTATTTATTTAAACACCTGCACACGCACACAAACCTTCAGTGGCTTAACACACTTTAGAAAAACATGGCATTCCTTCCCGATGGAGGGGGAAGCATTGAGAAGGAAGGAGATTACCACTGCTACCTTCATATCAGCCATGAGGAAAAACAAAATTGCAGCAATTGCTAGCTAGCAGCACAATGGCAAATTACATCTGATGGATTTCCCCAAAAGGCTAAGGCCCAGGTCAAATGAGAGCCTAGGTAGGTGCACCTAGTGGGGAAGGGCTTGCTACAAAATCAGAGGGCTTGGTAACCAGTCTGCATGTCATATCCTGCTCACAGAAAGGTGATAAAGTCAGGGCACATCACAGGAAGCTGGTGTCACGTGGACTCTTAAATCCTGCTGTCTTCAATGGGAGCTCAGCACTGGACAGGAGAACGCCCCTAAAGCCTGTTCCATGATAGGTAAGGGGCAGTTTCTCAAGGGAGGTTACTTTCTAATCCTGCATCACCTCTCCCACATCCAGACTTTCCTGCTATGCCCCTACGCTGGAATGGCCCATCATTGACATTACTGGAGTGTTGCTTATAGCTCCATATAATTTATATTTGGCATTAAGTATAAAAGTAGAGGCTTTATGTCCTGCTTCAGGTAGAAGCACAAAGCCAAGAAAAAAAACACAACATCTGCCTATTTGTGTCCCAGGGCAGACTGAAATAAAAGGAGCTTCCAGAGGGAAGAGAGAGGGTCTAAAGGTGGGCTGGTTACCAGGTTTTCTGCTGAATGTAGGTGCTGCCCTTGGTACTTCAGCCAAGCACAGTTATCTCTTCCCTCCCCCAACCTTGCCCTGCTCCAGGCACTTTAAATGCACAAGCCCTTCAAACTGAGTGCTGCAGCAGAGCCCACAGACAAGCTGCTGAACTAGGTCCAACAGACTGTGGCTCTCACTTCTGTCAGTTGTCCCAGAGAAGTCACTGGGAACTGAATATGCCCGGTGGACCTAGCCCCAGGAAATTACCACTCTGAGCCAACTGATAGAAGAGCCCTCCTATGTCTGACAGGGCTCCACCTACCCGGACATATTAAGCATCCTGTCCACCAAAAGCCCCACCTTGCAGTGATGGAAATTAAAACTGCTGTCATCGGCATCTGGCTTCTGCATCTCAGACTGACATGGAAAGGAAAATCTTCTCTCTCTCTCTCTCTCTCTCTCTCTCTCACACACACTTAACTTGTTCTGCATGTCGATGGCAGAGGATCTAAGTTGTCATCTCCTCCTTCTGGAGCTTCTTCTCCCCCCACATTTTTGAAAGCTTTATTATGGGGAGAAAAGGGAGAACTCGGGGTTCTGGAGAGCGAGGATTGGGTCAGACCTCCTGCAGGAAGAGCTCAGTGAGGATCACAAATTAACCAAATAAGAGACCTACGCATAGCATTTGAGTGCAAGAGGCCTTCCAGTGGAGGTTTCCAAAAAGCCCCTTCTCTGTTCCACAAAAAGAAAAAGACTAAGTGAAGGGCTTCACCATCCCACAAGGTGAACAGGACATTTGGCTTTGCTTTGAGAATACAGAAGCTGGTGAGAAGGAAACACAAAATCTGCTGAGTGGGGGAGGCAGAGGAGAGTCCCCCAAATGCAGGAACATCCTTCTTTGTACCAAAACAGGCCAGTGTGTGTTTGTGTGTGTGTTTTGGAGGAGGAGAGTGCCATTCAACTCCATCCCTTGGAGGAAAGGAGACACCCCTTGAAAGATTTATTGGTCTAATCTCTTTTCTCTGCTTTCCCAGCACTGCTTGGTGTTTCCTTTACTCAGTGTGCTCTGTAGATACTCTACCAGACAGGTGTATTTACATGTGATGAGTTCTGCTGGTTCTCAGCAGAGCTCTCTTGGTACAATGCTCCAATATAACAACAGAAACAGTTTTTGGTGTTCGGAATGAGGCCATCTTTGTGTTCTACTGCAGCTTAGGAAAGTCTCTCCTTCTCCTGCTCTCTGTCTCGGGACAAGCTGCTGAGAGAGGAGGGGATACCAAAGGGCGATGAGGAGAAAGCGTGATGAGTGTCACAAGTTCTCAGCTCCAGCTTAGCAGGCAGCGGCGGCGGCAACTCCTTCTCCCCACCCACAAGCTACCCAAAAATCAGTGCCCAAGAAAGGTGAGTCCATTCCCATCAGAGACTGGTGAAATTTGGTGTGGTAAAATCTGTCAGGATAAAGGCAGGGTTGGAGGGTGGGGGGAGAGGGGCAGAAAGAGCAAACTGAAGACAGAAAGCAAACAAAGCAACGAACAGTCAAATTTGTCAGGAGTGGGGCAGTGGCAAACTACCCTGGACCTTGGGGTGGTGGTGGGGGTTGAGCCTGAGCAGGAGGCATGTATGGAAATGCAAGCTCTTGGGTTGGCAGTTTCTATAGATAGCTCCTCAGGATGAAAATCATCTCAGGGGAGAGTGGGAGAAGTTAGGTCAGTTCATTCGGGTTTTTTTTCTTTTTTTTTTTTTCTTCTTTTACTAAAAAATAAATCACAAACTAGACCTCTGTAGACAGAAAGGGTCCTGGGGAAAGTCTGTGCTGTTTGGTGCTGGTGGTGTGGCTACACTAGGCTGCGTGAGCCACTGGAGTACCTACGTCTCTGAAGCAGGGAGCTGGGGGGGCAGTACTGGTGTGGGTGGTTGTAGGGCGGTGGCGGAGGCGGTAGTGGGGGCTGATGGATGATTTTCACTGGGGTCCCTTGGAGCCCACTGCCTGCGCTGCGCAAAGGGGTGGAGCTACAGGAATCAGAGGTGACGTAGCGGGTCAGAGTCTGGTTGAGGGCCGGCTCCATACGAGCGAGGCACGGCTTGTCCAAGACAATGACTTTGACAATCTGCTGGCACTGTACAAGTGTCCCCGCTGTGGCAGGGTATGAGGGCACCAATGCTGTCTCCAGCCTCTCCCGTGGCATGTTAGGACGCGTGCTGGGCGGCATTCCACTCTCGGGCCCCAGGGCAGAGTTGTGCTGGTACGTTTGAAGCCTGTTGTGAATTGACACCTAGTTTAGAAACAGTCAAAGAAGCATTAAATGTTACAAGACTTTTTCCCATCTGCTACTACTGGCTGCCCTGAGCCCCCACAACCTCTCCATCAACCATATCCCACCCAAAAGCATGATCCCCAGCTATAGCTCCCTTTGCCCTCCCAACAACTGTACCCATTCAGCCTCCCCATCTGGAAGTCAGAGACCCCATTCTCTCCCTCACATTAAAGGCCCAGTCAGCTTTTCCAAACACAGTGCAACTTTGATTATCCAAACATCATAGGAAGCACGAATAAATTGTGATGGTAGAGGCTTCCAAGCATTCTCATTGTAATGAACAGACCTGGGAGGTCATGCTCTTGTTATAGGCAGTGTGGGAAGGAGGGAATTGGATAGCAAGGTTTCAGATAATCGAGGTTGTACAGTTCTGTAAAATGATATTGGCTGAGCCCGAGAAAGACTCAAGTCCATCCCAGCTCCCCATCCTTCTAAGCAGAAAGGTGCACCACCTGGCTGGCTAATCTGTTTGCAAAGGGAAAAGCAGCAATCTGACAAACTCTAGCAAACAGCAGCTCACTCTCATTCATTTGATGGTTTGTAAGTGAAAGGAAATGATTAAAAACAAAAATTACCCAGCTAGCTTGTACCATGATAAAAGAAATTCATGATGAAATGGCAGCAGACTAGATCATCTCAGAGAATGGAAATGCTCTTCTGCTGAGGAATATTACAGGGTGATCAGAAGGGAGAGGGAAAAAGGCAGAGAGGGCTTTTGGCATCTCCACAGGCAGAGACCTGAAGAGAGTCACACGCCTGTGGGTACCTGCTGATTCCAGTGTGAAAATGAGGGGGAGTCGTACAGTGGAGCTTTTCATGGCTCCATGGTATCAAGCACCTCCCAGCATTGGAAAGCTGGAGGACAATGGACTGACTGACTGACTGGTGGCAAGGAAATGATGTGCCCCCTGGGCAAGACTGGGTGATGTCACCGTCCCCCTGGCAATGGTTAGCAGCGAGGTGGCAGATCTGTGCAAGGCAGACTGAGGGCTGGTAGAAAGGTGGAACTGCCTTAAAAATATGGTTTCTACCAGGGACCATTTCCCCCTATTGCTTTGAAGGGGAAAGTGTGCCTGCAGGTTGACAGCATCCTTCTATGAGAACAGGGGTGTGTGGGACAGGGGTGGTGCCCCACTGGGCTGTCAGTCTATCTGGGTGATGGAATCAGACAGTGGCAGGTGGTGTCTACAAGGAAGAGGGTGCTCAGCAGGAATAAGAATTGAAATAATTGAGTTTTCCACAGGAATGGGTCTCTGAGGCAGTGGGACCTCCTAGCAAAGAATATCTATTGGGCTATGATGTGCTAGGGGCACCAGAGTTCATGGAGACAAGTCTGCAAAGGGAAACGCCATCCCCAGTGGCTGATGTAGGGACTCTCCTGCAGGAAACGAACCTGTCTGTGGGGAAACACAGCTTTCCCTGCCTGTAACTTGAGAATCAATATATACAAGGGAAGCACTACATCAAGAGAGGAAAGAACTGCCCTAGGAAAGGGTTAATTTAGAGCAATGGAGATCTTCAGGGGAATGGAGATTTTCTAGGTGACAGAGCTATGGGGGAAGTTGTGCACCATTAAGGCAAGAGGGCTGTCTGCTAGGAGATAGCAATCCCTGCAGAAATAAGTACAAACAGGACAGCAGAGCTCCTTGCATAGGAAGGCAAGCTTTGAAGAAATGCTTTCCTGTGTACTGGGGTGCTGCGGAGTGTGTCCTTGTCCTCATTAAAGAGGATGATGTCTAGGGTGACTGCAGAGCTTGTGCAGGGAAGCTGGGTGCCGGGAAGATTGCATGTGATGCTGCATGGAGTTAGCAATGTCAGTGGCCTGTCAGGGGAGTCTTTAGTTGTGTTTTTGCTCTCCCTTTAAGCAGTAGGGTGGGTTAGTCTACGGCAGTTGGGAGCTCAGTCCATGAGGGATGTTACAGTTATAAAAACGGATTGAAAATGCTTTGAAGTTTAGTTTGGATGTGAAAGTTGTATTACCCGTCCTAGCAGTAACTTTTAATTGTATCTCTGGAAATTGGTAAAAGTGTCAGTCTGGCTGGGGAGGCATTGATTAAAACCTGAGAAAAGAAACAACAGAGAATGTGAGAAGAGCTGAAGTGAGAGAGAATTACTTACCTCAGCTGTTCTGCACTCTACTTACCTCCACTGTGCTGTCCGAGACCTTCTCCCCCAAATCCTTCTTGCCTTTGGAATAGAACAGATCTCTCAGTAACAAAGGCCTGTGTCTCATGACATAGCCTGACACCTGGATTGCTCGGGGGGGCTGGTAAGCTGCTTGCTATGCAGCCTCTAGAGTGGTGGCCCCAGTCCAGCCCAGGCTGACAGCAATTGATTGTTATCCTCAGCTGATGGCTACTTTGTGGTGAAATAGGCTTGTGATCCTAGCTCAGTTTCTTGTCATCTATGACCCAAATCCCCATTGCATCTGGTCTTAATTGGCCAAGAGATGTAGGCCTTCATGAGTGTAAAGTCTGCATTATATCATGGTGGGTAGTTAGGGTTGCAGCATGTTGGTAGAGATAGGGGAAACAGAACTGACTGTTGCCCTTGTGCTGATTTGCTCTGGGGAGGGACCGAGTATGTTTTTCAGGGCTTGTAACCTGGCACCATTCCCCATCAGCATGTTCTCTGGGCCTATTTTTATTTGGACAGGTCATGAAAGAGGGCTTCCCAAGACTCTTTTAGAATATCTGTGGAAGATATGAACCCAGTTCATTTCCACTGCCAATTGAAGGCTTGGGTGGTCACCACGAGTGTTGGTATGGGGGGTATACCCATGGCAGTGACCACTTATTTCCACAGTGTCTCCTGCATGTGTAAACACTTGTGTGAGGATACAAGTAATGGCTACAGATCTGGCCACTGTAGAAAATGACCTCTTACCTGCTGGAGATCCTTGTTTGGACTGTGGTTCCATCTGAGACCCATTGGTCTTTAACGTAAAAGTCTTTGCTCCTTGCTGCTTCTCCAGCTCCCCTGGGAGACAGAAGGGTACAGATGAATTATAAGAGAGAAGCAGAGGGAGGAGTAGGGGAGAATACCAAAGGTATGCCTATATGGTGCTAGGCAGAGCTCTGCTGAGATGCACCAAGCTTGCATCACGAGTACTAACTCCTGAACCAGAAGGGGCATAGTTACATTCCTCTTCCTTTAAGGGGCAGAACTTGCACGCAGCTGCTATGCTGCAGCTACTTAGGGAGGTAATGTGCACAAGGTTGGTGGAACATGCCTTGGTTCAGCAGCAACCTGCTTAAACATGGCACTGCCTTGTGCGCTATAAAGCCGCTAAAAGAAACTGAAAGGAAAGGCAGCAAGGAGACTAGATGTAGAAATGTGTAAGAGACAGACTAGAAAAGAAAAAGAGTGAGCAGGAGGCAAATGAAGACAGAAGAGGAGGAGAGGCTAGAAAGGGCATGTATTGTGTATGTGCAAACACTTAAGATGCCAGTTCAGGCCTAGAGTTTGACACCTGCAGTTTATCCTGAGTACCACCTGACTCCATGAGTGCTGGGAGGGCTTTCACTCAAAGGAGGGCTCCCCATAGATATAAAGGCAGCAGATACCATGCTGATCTAGTCCAGCAATGAATAACCAGGGTGCTATGACACACATGGAGTGCTGTGAGATCTTTTTAAGGTTGCTGGGGCTGCCATATAATATTAGCACTGTTAGGTGTGCAAACACCTACATGTGATTCATGAGATAAACTCTCTGAGTTCTTTGGAAAAAAAGAATTTCTCTATTGCTTTCTATAGTCAAAAAACAAGTGAAAGCTAGAGCTGGCATTTTCCAAGGTGAGACTTGAGTCTAACAAGATTGAGAACTTCTGATCTAGTATGACAAGTGTAACAGCCATAGGACTTCACTCAGTAGAAAGGGACTTGCCCAGAATCATACAGGAGGCTAGTCCTGACTTCCAGAAGAGGAAGTGCTCTATCTACCAGGCCCCTTCATCTCTTGTGGGGTGAGCTACTGCCCCATTGTGAATATTCACACATACGCAAGTTCACACACACACAAGCTTGCTGGGCACACACAGGTCATATCTGCATATGATCATAGACAGGGACAAGCACACGGTTAAACATACACCCCCTCACTTTCAGGTGCCTTCCTCCCAGCCCCCCAGACACATGTACATACATATAGTAGGGTTGCATGGAGTTTGAGTCACGTTGGAAGCCTTACATTCAATTCGTATCTGCTCTAGTTCCATCACCTCTGCTATTGACTCTTTTAGATCTTCCACAAATTTCTGCATTTCTTCTGCACCCAGAGCACAGAAGTGTAGTACCTGTTTCTTCTCGGAGCCCGAAACTGGAGTCACCAGAGTGATGCCATGTGGGTAATCTGAGAACAGGACATATAAACACATTGACCAAATGACAAATGCAGACCTAACACCACGAACCCTAGCATGAGATGTGGCTGCATTTCTACCAGCCCAGAACCTCTAGCCCAGACCAAAGGATGCAGTGCATTGTCACAGCATGTTATAGTACTGCACCTGGAACCACCACAGAATTGCAGCCCAACTGCATCAGCCCTGCTTGTGCACAGCATAGAAAGTCTGACCTTCAGCACCATAACGCAACATGCAGCCACTCGCATGGCAGCAAGCTGCGGTCAATAACTGGGATTTGCCACCACTGTCACATGACAGCATCCCTTCTGCTACAGCACAGTACAGCACAGCACAGCAGAAAGGAGCTCTGCACCAGGTGATACAAGCCTAGTACTACACGACAATGCAGAGCTAAGGCATGCTGAGCACCAATGTACCTCTGCTGTGACTCCACCAGTGAGAGTATAGCATCCATTGGAAACTCTCAGACTGAAAACACAAACCATGTACTTCTGATATGTTCAGGTGCTTTGGGAACCTTCAGTGCTCAGAGGTGACTGCAGCCCACCTTAGTAGGGGTGAAGAGTGTACATAGAGGGACAATAAATCCTTTTCTCATCCAGTAGGACATCAGGGGGCTGGAACAGAGAGAAGTACACCCTGGGGGTGCAAGGGAATGGAAGCCTAGTCCCACTGAAGTCAATGGCAAAGTTCCTATTAATTTAATGGAGCCAGTCTTTCACCCTAAGTCTCTAGGCAAGGAAGAAGACAGGGATATCTTGGAGTCACAGACTCTGTTTCTCCAGCACCACATGGGCTGGGATGTGGCTCTGCTGCCCATGCAGAACTGCAGGTAGGAGATCTAGAGGGTATGTACCTATATACACTCATTTCTTTCCCACTCAACCAGAGGCATGATGGGGAATGCAACACAGGACAGATGCAAAGGGGCTGAAAAGGTAACAGATGGATGAGGTCTGGTGTTCTGCGACCTAAGGTAGGTTCAAGGAGGAGCCAACTGCAGGCTCCAGCCAGCAGGAGCAGCCAGTGCAGGGACCTGTAAAGAACTTCCTTGGTTTGGGTTGGGCTGTATCTGCCCTGTTGGCTGGTTGCTCCAGCCTTCCTCTTCCCCTTCCCTCAGCATCTTCACTTCAGCTTCACTCCTCAGCTCCCTTTCCCCTCCTCCTTAGCTATCCCCTCTGAACTAAACCCACCAAAGATGTCTGCCGCCATCACATCATTCACTTTGCTTGTGCATTACATATCTCTAGTCAGACTGTGAGTTCTTTGAGGCAGGGACTGTACTTGACCCTCTGTTTGTACGGACCTAGTACACTGGGGCCCTAGTTCTGGTGGGTCCTTGCACATGACTGAAATAGACATTAATTATACTGATGGTGTTTCTGAGGTCTAAGCCCAGCTCTGACTGAATCTCCTCTCTGACCTAGGCACTTAAATCCTCCAGGTTCACCTTTTGTAAAATGTAAATCAATCAGGGTGGAGCAGGA